GTGTCTGGGGACAAGTAGGGAAATGCACATGCATAGACAGATGCGTTGCCTCAAACCTCTGCTGCAAGACTACTGCTCTAGTGTCAGGTCATCCCTGGCCACTGTGAACAGGTGACTAAAACATGGACATCAGCAATGCTTTAAAGCAAGGGTCAGCAAACTGTAGCCCAAGAGTCCAAATTTAGTTCACCATATATTTTTGTTAACGAAGTTTTATTGAACACAGCCACACATTCATTTATGGATTGAGTTAAACAATTGTGACACAAAGCCAAAAATATTTACTATACTGCACTTTGCAGAAAAGTTTACCAACTTTATAATATGAATTAAAGGTAAGAAGAAACCAAGTTAGGAAAATTATCAAGAATGCAAACAACCAAAGGGGATGAAGAAGCAGCAGAAAGGGACTGTTCTAAGAAATAAGGACTGTCATCATGAACACAATCTCCAATCTTCACCATGAAAATATTCCAGGCAGTGTTTGAAGATTAAGATGTGAGACTGAATGAAGAAGTTTAATGTATAACTAGTACTTAACAATTGTTTAAAAATCACAAGAAAAGATCTGAACAGGTGATATCCAAAGCAGCTTCTACAGGAGCCTAATTAAAGGAAAGCTAATCATTACATATATTTACAAATTCTAAGTTTTCTTAGGGCAGTTAGGTTTTCATTTATAAAATAAATATTTAAGTTCATAATAAAACTATGCTAGAGCTATTGGTCATACATGATTTTTAATGGTATCAATACTACAATGTGTGCTGAAACCCAGAATAATCATTGCCTAAGCAAAGTATTTATTCAATGACACCAGCTGAGGTAGAGGTTGAAGACAGTGAAGAGGATCCAAACTAGTCTCCCTGCCTTCAGGGAATTCCACCAAGAGCTGCCATCCACAGCCTAACAGAACTAGTTTCTTCCAATCAGGTCTATCAAGTCACTTCTGTCTACGAGATTCTTCCGGCTCACACTGTACTTCCCAGTCTGGCTTCAGCTTAACTTTCCAGCCTCATCTTCAGGTAACCCCAGGCTTCAGATACACTGGAATACTCATTACTCTTGAAACAACAATAGCTAACAATTACATAGCACTATCAATGAGTGCTGTGCAAAATACTTCACACAATCTCAAACCTTGGAACCACATTATTCTATAGATATTAGTATTGCTGTTGTTATCACATTAGCTTTAACACTCCATAGGGGCACCAATGCCTTTCAAAGTACATGGTCATATGTTTGTATAAAGTTTACAAAAATAAATAAATAAATAGTTTGTATTCTTTATGCTACACAGGTCCTACAAATTTGCATAAGTGTCAAGGTGCACACAAAGGAAACCCTAGATCAGCCTCTGGTTATTAAAATTCCCATTCTGTAATAATCATGGAAGTTAAATAAATCAACAAATTCCTCTTGCAAAGGAAGTAGCAGAGGTATCATTTAAACCCAGGTCTACCTGTCTTCAGAAGCTAAGAACTTTAATCAAAGTGCTAAGGCTGTATCTCTGTTCATGCTATTCGCACTGCAAAGAATAGCCATTCCTCCTCTTCCTGCTTTCATCACCAGATCCCTAGCAGGCTGCTACTCCTCCTCCAAAGCCCAACTAAGACATGCCTCTGTCTTCCCAGCTTTCCCCGATCTTTCTTGACAAAACTGAGACATCCTTAGATATCCCTCTATTTTTAACTGCTTATAATAGTTCATACATGGTATAATGTCATCAAAAGAATATATCTTTGGAGTCAAACTGACCTAGGATCAAATTATGGGTCTGGCTAAATATTTGCTATACAATTTTAGGCAAAACCTTTAACCTCTCTGACACTGAACATTTTGATCTTTAAAACTGAAGCAATAATTCTTACCACAATCAGACATTTAAACATCCATCCATCCTTTTTATTCAATCCACAAATACTTACTGAATGCCTACTACACTCCAGGTGCAAGGCAGACAAAAACCATGGGAACCCACAGGCAACATTTCTGCCCTCACAGAGCTCAGAATCTAGTGGACAACAAGCCTCCAGAGTGAGAAGAGTACTGTGACTGGACCAAGGTGGGGTGCAGAACTTGAGGGTCAGATAAGGACAATGTAGATGAATAGCAATTCACTGAAAAGTGTCATAAAAATATAACATAGCAAATGTTCAAGACAGATACCACAAGTAATTTCAACTTAATAAAATACTTCCACCCCACCCACACCTGATCACATGGCCCTCATTTCTTACGCATTTGAAAATTCCTCTGTCAGGGATGAAACTGGGTTTTTTTGGTGTTTTTTTTTTTTTTTTCTTTTACAGTAAGTGGGTCAACAAAAATGAAATCTTTTTGCACTGTACTGGGCAATTGAGACCACAAGACTAGTGGAAGAGGCCAAATTAATAAAAATAAAACCCAACAGTTTCTTAATATACTGTCACAACCACAAGAATTCCTTAATATTTATTCCTGTTTTCTGTGTTAGAGCATTTAATGACAGAACAAGGAAATCATTTTTACATTTTTCTGGGGGCTGAACTGCTGCACAATGTGAGAGAGCAATTGCAGCTTTCAAAAGAGATGCTAATTGTAGCTTTTAAAATATTAGACTCCCTCTAAACACCCGTCGCCCTCTCCCCTAAGAGTTTCTGGGTCTTTCTTCAAGTACTGGGAGGATTTGCCATGTAGACTTCATTTTCCTAACTAAGGATTTTAGAATATTTTTAGTGAGTGACTCATTCCTAGCTCCTCAAAGACCCTAAGTCTCCCACATTCAGCAGCACTGGAAAGAAGGCCAGCCATATTTAGACAACAAACCCACAACTATTAGAAAAGCTGCACTGGACCATAAACAAAAACAATTCACAACCTCCTCCTTTATTCCACCTCAAGTGGGAATTTCCGTGTTACTCTGGACTTCCCACCAGAAGTCAGCAGTTGCCCTGTGGAAAGGGTCTACCACAGAGACCTGCTGCTTCTTCTTACTTCCTGGGAGAGTGAGAGGGATGCTTGCAATTAGATTTACCAGTGCTTTTCTTTACAATAACATGATATATTTAGGAGGCAGGAGGGTGGGGGCAGCAACTGCCCCCACAATTATAACTATATAGTCAATTATTGGAAAATCACCCCATTCCAGCCAAAAGGGATGTGGAGGAGGAGGAAAGCTGAAAAGAAGTCACAAAATATGTAATAAGAATAAAATTAAGTTATATAAACATGGGAGGTCAATACTTTAAGAATGCCCCCACACTTTCATCAGCCGGGGGAAATGGAGATGGCAATGCTGGGGCTGGGGTTGTGGCTCAGTGGCAGAACGCTTGCCTCACATGTGTGAGGCACTAGGTTAGATTCTCAGCACTGCACATAAACAAATGAATAAAGTAAAAGTCCATCAACAACTAAAAATATATTTTTTAAAAAATGCCAATGCTTCTGGCTTTGGGCTATAAGTGTAGGGGACACAAAACCTTTAGCTCTGAAATCCACAAAGCATCTGTATAATTATAACTTTTTTTTTTTTTTTGAAAATATAAAGATCTGATTCTGGTCTAAAAAAGAGGCTGACCCTTAATCAGTACATGAAACTACCGATGGACCTCAATTCTTACTATGAAGTATGTGATCTATAAACATTTTTATGAAAAATTAAATACAATATCCTTTTACACCTAATTCTCAGTTTCATAGATTTCTGTCTTAATGATAGATATCTACTTAATTATACAGTGGGATTAGAAGCAAATTAAGGAGTAAATGGGCTGGCATTACCCAGAGCTCTAGTCTATCAAGTAATTTAAAATATTGGTGAAAAACATCACTGGGAATAGAATCAGATGAGGAAAGTTCTATATGCGGACACTTCTCTTAGGGAAAGGAGTGAGTGTGGAGAATGGGGGACAAATTTTTGAAAAGAGGCCTGAGGTAGAGATGGGAGTGGAAATGAGTCCAACACATCTCTCTCTCTCTCTCTCTCTCTCTCTCCACACACACACACACACACACACACGCACACACACCAGCAAATGGAAGTGGGTCCCAGTAAGGACTGGCCACAGGGCTACTGCTTTGCTGAATGGGTCACAAGCAGCAGAGCCACCAGCACTTTTCCTTCTCCTTTGTTTCTCCTGTAGAAAGCAGCCTCTCCCTGAATGATGGCTGAGGAACCTCGGTAGCTGTGCAGGGGTGTGAGGCTATAGGTTTGCTCTGGCCCGGAGTGCAGTCATGCCCACCAGGCTTCACATTTCCTTGAAATGTGGGATCTAGTACTCCTTCCATCTTAGTCCTAACAGGGCTTACTGATCATTAAAAAAGGAACTTGGAAGCTTAAAAAATGATCTTGTTGGTAGAACATGTTTGCTGCCCATCTCTAGAAGAGAGATGGCTAATTCTAAACATCTTGTGACACTCTGCTGCTCTCCGCTCACCTGAGTCCCAGGCACCTACCTATGAGCCTTTCTTATAAAACACCTTCCATTTGCAACCATTAATTCTGGGTCAGTTCCCTGCAGAAGGTGAAACAGTCAAGGGCCTGAGGCTTCGTTCTGAGAAGACACTGTGTGTTCAGGACTTTCCACATTTCAATATTCCAAGTCATAATTCCTAATACCACCACAACCAGAGCAAATGCTGTCAAAGGCATTGCTCAGCTATAGCCTCCCTTATCATATATTCAGAGTGATTTGAAAACTGAACTGAAAAGCAAGTTAAGTCAATAGCGTCCATGATGAATGGAATAAAAGCTGTTTGCCCTTTAAAAGAAAGCACTTAAAAAGGAGGAAGGGAGAGAAAAATAAAAGAAGAAAACCCAGTTGAAACATGGCATTTACTTGAAGAGGAGCCAGCAGAAGTGGTGCATAGGGTTTCACAGCACAGAGGGCAGGCGATGATCAGAAGGCTTCATTGGCACTATTAAATTTCTTTGATGGCAACCTTGGCTGGGAAGGCAAGGCACAAAAGTTGCATTCAGGGTTCTGAGGACCAAGAGGTGATGTCTGTAAACTTACAGGGATAGAACGGCTCAAGAATCTCGCTGAAGAGGAAGAAAGCCCGGTGTAGGTGGGCCGGAGGATGGTGGCATGCTCCTCGGTCTTGGCGCTGTGGGGGCCCAGGTGGCTGTTGAGGTTGCCCCCACTGCTGCTGCTGCTGCTGTTGCTTCTGTTGTACTGGTTATTGTTGAGCTCAGGGTAATTTCTGGCAGGTGGCTGGGAGGTGCCATTCAAGAGGTTGGTGAACGGGCTGGCTGTGAAACCTGCCTTAGAGGATGAGGAGGTCTTTTTGTTCTCGGGATCATCTGTTGCAGCATTCAAGCTTCCTAGAGAACTGGCTAGCCGGGAGTTTATAGAAAAGCTGGATGGAAAACAAAGATGAGAGGGAAAAAAAACTCAGGCAGCGATGTGTACTCACGCTGAGCTTGTGCTTCTAGGACACGTTCAAAACATTAGGGGAACATGATGGAGAGGATTCTGATGAGTACAAATGATGACAGAATGGCCTCTTTTATTCCCGCCCCCTCAGGGACATGGAAATATGTGCCCTTCACTTACACATGTCAAGTTCCTTGGCTAAAAGTTATTAACTAAGACCCAAGAAGCTGGGCTAACACTTTGACTAGAGATCCTGGAATACAACTGGAGGTTCTATTTGTCCTGACACAGGAAATAAGTGAAAAGTAAATATAAGGGGAAAATTAAGAGCAGACTTAGTATATTATGTAACTCATGCATACTTAAGCCCTCAGCTACATCAAACACCCCTACCCTTTTAGTCCATTCTCACCTGCTTACATATATCAGGTGAGAAATGATAATACCACTTCTCATCTGTATGTGCAACTGAACTCCATTTTCTAGATCACACTAAGCAAGCTGGACATTCACTAGATGGATGGGACCCTCTAGGATATTCCCTCCATCACCTTGTACCCTGCAAGCAAGATAGAAACAGAAGCCCCGGGAGATCAGAGTCTTTGGGGGGTTCTTCCATTCTCCCTTGTCCCCTCCTCTAGCAAAACTACAGGGAAACCCATCACCTGCTGTAGACCTCCTTTTACCTCAAGCCAGTACCTCGGAAAGGGACAGAAAAAAATTACCTTCTCACACTGGTGCCTGAAGATGAACCTCTGCTTATCCTTTTGGCCGTTGCTGAAGGGGCCAAAGCCACTTTTGAAGACTTCAAAGTAGACACAGATCCTTGTGGGGAAGAACTTAATCTTTGTGGGAAACAAATGGACAGAGTCTCACACTAAAGCTGTTTTATGTTTATGTTCAATTGCACTAATGATCTAGGACAATAAATTAAAGAACCTTAATTATGTCATGCTCACCACCACCCCAGGAGGCAGCTGATAATACCACCCACCACCAAGAAAGGAGACAGAGCCCAAAGGAAAGGTTCTTCCTCCAAGTCACCCAGTTGGCAAAGTGCCACGCTGGGATTCAAATTCATGATCCTGCTGTCCCTGTCACTTCCCTACCTTCCCACTGCATTCATACAGCAGCAGATCCTTGGTCCTACTCAGACCCATCCCTCCCTTTCCAGCCCACAACTGCCAAGGTAAGCCCTCATTATCTCTTAGCCTCAATTGTTAGTGAGGGAGAATAGGTAAATTAAAAAAAAAATAGGTAAGAAGGAAGCTGGACTCAGTGGTGCATGCCTGTAATCCCAGCGGCTTGGGAGGCTGAGGCAGGAGGATTGAGAGTTCAAAGCCAGCCTCAGCAAAGGCGAGGCTCTAAATAACTCAGTGAGAACCCCATCTCCAAGTAAAATACACAATAGGGCTGGGGATGAGGCTCAGTGGTGGAGTGCCCAAGTTCAATCTCCAGTACCATAAAAAAAAAAAAAAAATAGGTAAGAAGAGAATGGAAGCAGGAAAGAGACTATATCTTTAACTCAAAGCCTTATGCTAAAGTTTCTCTCTCCCAGGCCTGTCACTCCTAAATTTCTGGGAAGTCTATAAATCTTCACTCACAATCTTAAAGCCACTAAAAATTCACTCTCTTATGAAAATTGCCCTTTCCACTGTTAATTAGCACTCCAATGCATGCATTTTTAGAAGAGATCGAACAAAGGGGAGATATGAAACCTATGACACAGAGCACTTTTCCAATATTACTTATTGATCATATGATGAAACAGATGTCAACCTGAGGATCCTAGAATCCTGAGAACAGCCAGACCACTATAAACTGACTTGTGATCACCAAACTGATATCATCCCACATTCTTTCCCATTCCCTCCCCTCACCAAGTTTCCTTTCAAAGATAAGCCCAAGAACCCCAAAAGCATTTCTCACTCTTGAGATAGCCCATATACTCCCTAGAATAGGTACTCCTTGCTTTCCTAAATAGGTCTCGGAGCCTCAATATCTGATGCATGCTGAAAATAATTTCCATCATGCACATTGAGGACCCTGTCAACCTGAGTCTAGGTCCCCCTCTCTGGGATCTCCTTGTGCTTCTGGTGACACTAGGACTATCTTCCAATGTTGTTCCTTAACAATTCAAGTTGTGGATGGCCTCCAGTGAAATCTAAGTATCTAATCATGTCACTCCACTGTTTAAACCATTCATCTTTCCCCAGTGCCCATAAACCCTAAACTCTTTGGCTTGACTTAACAAAACCTCAAAAATATGACTCTTTCCTCTTTGAACAGGCCCTGCCAGCCACACTTTCCCACTGGACAGGTTCTTACAGAGAGCAAACCTTGCCTGAATCCCCAAGCAGGGCAAGCATCCTGTAAATTACAGCAAATCATAATTCTCAGATGACATTTCATTGCTTGGTCTGAGTCTATTTCCTTCACTTGAGGTAAGCTCCCTGAGGCAAACACTTGTCCCCCATTTCAACTCCCACTGGCTAGCACACTCCCAGACTGAGCAGCTTAACAAACATCTGCCAAGTGGAAACAGAGAGAGTTGGCTCAAATCTGGAGAGCCACGACTGGGTCATGGTTTTACTATCCAAATCATTTTGTCCTATACAAATCATGTGATGTAGCAGGACTTTGTTTTCCTATCTACTAGTGAAAAGCTTATTTACTTGTAGACTCTTTGCTTTGTCATCCATCCTAACAGCAGCTTACACCATGTTTTGCCTCAAAACATAGTAACATAGTATGAGCCTTATCAAAATGGTTCCCCAGAAGGTATTTCATCAACAATCTTGGCTAAACCCTTCTGCTGCTCTGTCCAAGCCCTGTGCTGGCCCCTGGCCAGAGGATACTCTTCCAGAGAAAAACTTTCATGTTTCCTCCTTCAATGGAAGATAGGGAGAAAAATAAAACTATAAAGTAAAGGAGATAAGGGAGAAAGAAGACCAACAGAAATGGGAGGAAAAAATCAAGGCAAAATCTATATTGAAAAAATAGCTTGAAAGGACAGTGGTAGAGCACCTGTATTTACGAGAGACCCCACAATGTGCTGGGAGCACAAAATATACTGTGACCACTATGATGGCCACAAGCCCTGGGGTACATCGGGAAGGGAAAATTCCTTTTCACAGCAAACATTAAAAATAAAGTGTACTGTCATCAATGTTCATAACAGCACAATTCATACTAGCTAAGCTATGGAGCCAATCTAAGTGCCCTTGAACAGAAGAATAAATAAAGAAAATGTGATACACACACACACACACACATACACACACACACACACACACACTGGACTATTACTCAATAAGAAAAAAGAATAAAATTATGGTTTTTGCCTTTAAATGAATGGAACTGGAGACTGTCATGGCAAATGAAATAAGCCAATCTCCCCCAAGTCCCCCATTTTCCAAAGGCACCCATAGAAAGGCCTTCCAGCCTGCAGGCTCTTCTTAAGATGTGGTCATGCCCTCACCACAGGGAGTCTGCCTCCAGACCTGGGTACTGGGTACTGACCACCTGGGCCCATGCTGATGGCAGAGAATGTTTTCTTGGATATGTGGAGGCTAACCCACAATAAGTGTGGGGGCAAGGGTGGAAGTTCAGTGGATTAGACAAAGAGAACAAAGGGAAGGAGGGGTATAGGAATGCACCACCAGTGAAATTCCACATCATATACAACCACAAAGAATGGGGTCCTAATTGGAATAATTATACTCCACACATTTATTATATGTCAAAATACACTCCACTGTGATTGTATATCTAAAAAAGAACAAATAATAATAAAAAAAATACAGATAGGACAGAAAGGGAAAAATTTAAAAAAACAAAAAACTGTGCAGTTTACTTTCATCAGTTTGAGTGTTAGAAAATAAATCTAAAAGATAGCATGTATTTACAAGCTACCAGAAATTCTGTTAACAGTACCTGAAAGGCTGGGACACTACTGCTCTCGGGAGCCCTTTTGCATCATCAGACCTGCAGAAATCAAAGACACATGCTCCAGCATTACTATGTTCATACATGTGGGCAAAGACCAAAAGGCACATCATATAGATGGAACTGGATCAGTAAAAAATATTAAACTGTCTGAAGGGAAAAACCTTGAGTGAATATTAGTATTCATCTACTTTATAAAATAAATCCCAGAACCAGCAGGAAGTACATTTTCCCTTAAGATGTCCTAAAAATCAAACATAAAGCTTTTTGAAATTTATTTTTATCAATATAAAGCTATTTCTTACAGTGCCAAGCAAAGATGGTGAATAAAAAAGGCCAACAATGTACACTGATCTTGAAGAACCTTCCACTGACTTAGAAAGAAAACACAGAGTGAAAAGAGCAGGGGTTTGAACAGTCCTGGGTTGGAATGTTAGCTCCTTTCCTAACTCCATCCCCTGGGAAGCAACTTGACCTAACATGGATCCATCCAAACATGGATGATGGAGCAGACCTTTGTGTTAACTCTGTTAAGCCTCTTATTTGAACTAAGACCTAACCTGGCCCCTTGTCTATAATAGATAGGAGTAAATGGAACTCTTCCTCCACCTGCTACTGGTCATTGGTGGTTCCTAAAAACAAGGCTTGCTACCCCATTTTCTCACTATCCTATAGAAAATCCTATAGAAAAATCATAACCTCAACATGAACCTTTATGTCTTAGATCAGTAGACCAGTACTCAAAGATTCAATATAAATTAAGCATTATAACAATGAAACTAAATCCCATCAATCCATTTGATATTTATCATAGTGACAAAAAAAAAAAAAATCCTTCCTGCTATGCCTGTCTTTCACTTGTAAATTAAAGAAGACATTTACCACAACATTCATTTCATTTGTGGACTGGGACCTTGTCACCCTACATATTGCTGCAAAGAATCTTGACCATGTTTTCAGATTTTGCACCAACATTGAGTCTGAAACCTTTTATTTTAATTGTAAATTTTTTATCTACTCTGAATTATAAGCAAGTTTCAGATGCTGCAGTCAGAAGTCAAGTTCCATCATTGATTTTGATGATTAATTTCAGCCTTCAAAATCAACATGTTTTTAATTTTATAGGCACACATAAGAATCACTTTTTAAATTCTTACCAACAAAAAGTAAAGCCAAGGGATTAGTAGCCAAAGCTTGCATAAATTCGTTTCTGCACACCTGGCTTCAATAATAAAGCCTTGACACACCAGTAAGGATTTGCCATAAGATAGAAAACACACATGGGAGAAAGGTAGAATTCCAAATGGAATTTGGGTCAGAGTACGAGAGACAACTAACTACTTAGCAGCTTCAGGTAGAATTCCAGAGACTGAGATGTAGCAATTGCTTTCAATAAGCTTTGAAAATTTAGCTACTACCAAACAGTGATAAAATACATAGTAAATAGACAACATATAGTTGTAATAAATCAAAACACATGACCCAAACTTGGTATTTGTGGGATGATATTCAAAAAAGAAGATTAAATGTTTTAACCACGAATGGAAGCACACCAGGAATTTTAAAGTTTAAAGCATATCTACCTAAATGCACAGGTCGGTGAGGAGCGTGGCTGTCTCTGACTTTTTAAGGCACGTAGTTTGTCTCCCTGGGTTATATTATTTTTCATTTCCACATCTTCATCCTCTTCTAAATTATTCTGGAAAAAATTATGTTCCATAGAAAGGTCATTATCAACAATTTTACTTTATGCAGATTTCTTAACAGAGTATAGATTATCTGTATTTACAAATACTTCCTATATAAATTATTATATAGATTGAATGTACTCTCAATTCATCATTATGCAAGTATACACTAAAGAATGGTTAACTATTTGCCATTTAAATAACTGGTAAAATTCCAAATGAAAGAATTTTGGTTATGGATGTGGTAGAATTGAAAAGGAGCTATTTGTTTCAATGGACCAAAGAATCCCTCATACAAACACAATCATACTTTGGAAAATAGCCTAATACCGTCTGACTCAAGAGATACAGAACAAATATATTTTCAGATACTACCAGAAGCCATCAATGCAAATTCCATAGCTTGTTTACAAAAACGCAAGATAAAATAACTGAAGATATCTGCACAGTAACTCATTAACATCATTTAACACTAGTAAAAGCACCCCAGCCCTTTCCGAGAGTTTAAGGAGCAGTGTCACTAAAGCTGGGAAAGCACGTTTCCTTCTGAGTAAGTTTTGTAGTTTGAAAAACAGAAGTACCATGTTAGTATTTTCACATGCCAGTTCAAGGGGAGTAGAGGTGATAAGGAGATAAAAGAAGTAAATCCTATCTACCACAGCAGGAGGCAACAGGAAAAGATCTAAGATTTATTTAGAAAAACAGCAATAAACAAGGTAGTTAGAAATATGGCAGTGAAAATACTAGTATAATTTGCTCAGCAGTCTGCAGATATGGAAAGGTGAGATAGGGAACTGTATTTTAATTGTTAGAATCCAATACTTTTGATATTTTTAAAGCTGTGGTCATATCTCACTTGAAAAAATAAAAGCTGAGGCTGGGGCTGGGGCTCAGTGGTAATGCACTTGCCTGGCATATGTGAGGAACTGGGTTGGATTCTCAGCACCACATATAAATACATAAAATAAAGGTCTGTCAACAACTAGAAAAATATTTTTTTAAAAAAAGAAAAAGGAAAAAGAAAAGCTAATTTTAAAGAACATATAGTTTTAAATTAGCTATATATTTAAAATTATAATTACACATTTTTATTCTCTCATTCTTTTTTGTAAATAATACCACATTTCAAAAACAGAAAACAACAAAAATGCTAAGCACACTGGCATCTACCTAACTACCTAGATTGAACATATTTTTTACTTTCTTCTCTTAAGTTTACTTAAGTACCATCACTTTCCAAAAGAAAGAAAACTATAATACATATATGGTTTCAGCTCTCAACCTCCAGAGAGGAAAATAATGTTTCTTCTTTAAGAAGAATTATTAGGGCTGGGGTTGTGGCTCAGTGGTAGAGCACTTGCCTAGCTTGGGTGAGGCACTGGATTCGATTCTCAGCACTATGTATAAATAAATAAAAAAAAATAAAGGCCCATCAACAACTAAAAAATATTTTTTTAAAAAAAGAAGAATTATCATATTACATTTGTTTAGCACAAGAAATAAAGTACAATAAGCATGAAAAAAACATTGAAACCACCTTTATATTCACCATCAAAATCCAAACACATTAACATTTTGGCACACAATTTTTCCTGTACTACACACATCCCCATGATATACTTCTTCCTTATCAAAAGAGGTTATGTTTTAAACACTACTTTGTAACTTGTTTTTTTCTATTAAAAATACATTTTGTGGAAGTGTATCAGGACAAATAAAAAAAGATCTCTACATTATCATCTTATAGTCCCATACAATTCCATTGTCTAGAAATGCCAAGTTGTATTATTTAACAAAAACCCTGGAATACGCTGTTCTCTGTCTTTCTGCACTATAAATAAACTCCACAAATATTCCCCTATACACACATGGTTATTTAGCACTGTCTTATTATTGCCATACGACAAATTCATAGAAGTGGAATCACCAAGTTCATTTTAAAGTTGTCTTCTACATGTTATCAAATTGTCCTCCACCACAGCCATACTATTTAAACTTCATCTAGCGAAGTTTAAGAGCCTTATTATTCCCTTAAACCCTTGCCAATACTGCATAGATTTCTTTAATGTTTGAAAGGTATAATCAGCATCTCATCATTTAAATTTATGCTTCTTTCATTTTTAGGGAAACAGAACATCTCTTATGTTTAACAGCTATGAGGGTTTCCATATTGCTTTATTTGGGTGCATGGTGTCTTCACGTTGATACACACATACACACACAACGTTCTCATTTTTATATCTTTCAATTCCTCCTAATTGCTACTGTGGAGAGAATGAGTGGGAGAAAGCAAAGACTGGGCGTGGAGAGGACAGATAAATAGCTACTGCAGGGTGTGGTGAGAGGTGATGGGTTGAACTAGGTTATAGGAAACTGCTTATAAGTCTGTACTTGAGGAAGAGGGAAAAAGAGGGGGAAATGATCAAGATTTGTAATATAGATCTGAAAAAACATACTAAAATTAAAATTATGTTTGTTTGTCTAAAGTGATCTTCCCTCAATTTATTTCTGTGGCTACTGGATGTAGTTTAGGGTATTTTTAGGACTAAAAGATATAGAACATACAAACTACAAAATTGTCAGTAATTGATTATTTGCCTTCAAACTCTTTAACCAAAGTACTACACAATGTTATTCAAAACACATTTACATTAATTTACAGAGTAAAGAAACTAAAAACCTGAGGGAAAAAGATTTTGGACCTGTGGAATACTGAATAAAATACACAAAACATGCATATACTCAAGTCCTATGTTTATAAGGGAATTGATCCTAAATATATACCACGTCAAAAGAGCCAGTGCGTTTGGGATTGGGTGGGAGTACTCATTAGAAAATATATTTCTATATATTATGATTCTGAGAGAAATTTATTAAAAAGCAGCTAAGGTTTTGTTCAAAATTACTTTATTAATGTACTAAAACCACAGTGAAAACCTTATGGAGCGACCTCGCAGTAAGGTGACTGAGTACACAGACGGGGCCAGCGTTCCTGGGTTCCAATGAGAGCTCCACCATATGTGTTGTGATCTTGGACAGGTGCCTCACCTTTCTTTACCTCAGTTCTGTATTCTATAATGGGCCTCATGCTGATGGTTATGACATATGGCTACTGTAAGGATTAAAGAGTTAATCCAATGTAAAGTGCTTAGAAGAGTTCCTGTCATGTACTGGATGCTATTTAGGTGGCTGTTGTCATACTAAGTTCCTTGTTTAACTCAAATATTTACATTTTAAATTTTTAAATAAAGTGTTTTAAATTCCATCTTCTTCAGGTTACTTTTTTCTGGTTTTTGTTTTATGTTTTCCGTAATGGTGGGGATTAAACCCAGGGTCTGTCACATGCTAGGCAAGTGCTCTACCAACCAGCAACACTCAGGCCTTTTGTTTTTTTAAATCCCAACCCATAATGAACACTTACAACCCCCTAAATGTCAAAATGAACACTTATTGCTGGGACTTTTGTATTTGAGCATATATTGTCTGTATATAGGTTGGATTATTGCCAATTCCACATCTGTGTCCTTGTTCTTTCTTTTCTCTGAAACAGTAAGCCTTCTTCATTCACTCGAGTAACATCTATTAAGGCCCTGTGGACCAGGAATAGAACCATGATGAGATAAAACCTACCATTATAAAATGTACCACCTGGCAGGGGAGCACAGATAAAGGCCTTGGAAGAGAAGCACAGAGCAAGCCAGGAGCATGGAGCAGGACCCTAAGTTAGATCAGCAGGCTGTATGTATTTCAGAGCACTTAGCCCAGAAATAAAGACCAGGTTCAATAAAGGTAAAGCCTCTATTTTTCAAGATTCCTCATAATTCTCAGTGGACTAAGAAATTTATTAAAGCCCCAGCCTTGTCCATTATTATAATCTGCATCACTCTGGTTAGTATTTTTTCCCACCCACTAACCACTAAAAAACTATATGCAAATTGTCTAGATTAGGACATTACAGAGCGTCCTAATAACCAGTCACAAGAAAATTCTTGTAGGCATAGAAAACAAAAATAATTTAGAATCTCTCCTTTCAATCTTTTATTAATTATTTAAATGGTAATCTCTAAAGAATTAACTACATAAATCCAGAACTTGCATAGGCTTCTACCCTGAACCTGCAACTTGAAATGCATCAAAATCCTTACAGTGTTCTTGACTTTTTCCCCCTACTTTCAATTAACAAGAACAAAGATACTACTCTCTATTAAGTCCATTTTTGAGTAAACTAATTCCCCTATTAATGTTCCATGGCTGACATTAGGTAAGTAGGGGGGGAAAAAAGAGTTCACTGTGTAAAATACTAAGCATACCATCATCCTCTGGCACTTCTGAATTCTTTCATTTCTGCACCCTATAACTGCAGAAACAACAGCACTCATGAATGGTTAAAGCTAAAATAATTAGCTGGTGGGATACAATAGTACCCACCACAATTCATAATTTGTGCCTCACCCCAAGATTCACATGTTGAAATCCTAACCCCTCAGGTGATGCAGGAAGAGGTGGGTCCTTTGAGAGGTGATTAGAGCCTTCATAAATGGGATTACTACCCTTATAAAATAGGCCCCAAGGAGCCTCTGTGTGAAAACACAGGAGAATGCACCAGCTATGGACCAGAAAGCAGGCCCCTACCAGACACAGAATCTCCCAGCTACTTAAACTTGGAATCCACAGCCTCCAGAATCATAAGAAATGAATTCCTATTATTTATTAGCCACCGGGTTTATGGTATTTTCTTATAGCCGCCTATATAATGGGACACAGCAGGAGTCACAGAAACAGCCAGCAACTAAAAATAAGCCTATATTTAAAACTAGCATTTTTTAAATTTCAATCATATGGCATTCCTTGCTATTCTAGTGATAAGCGTTAATTATTCTTAAGTTCAACAAAATGGGATCTAAAAAATGAGAATCAAGTGTCCAAAGTACCGGACATTAATTTAATATAGCATCCTACAAAAAGCATTGTTATTGAAAGTTAAATGTGTTCCTCAGATAAAAGGGATAAATGTCTTTTGTCTTTTCAAAGGTCATAACTCAAAGCCTTATTTACTTGAATTCAACCTGGGAAGGAAATGCTGACCAGAGCAAGAAAAGTGTTCTTGCTTAGCAATACTGTCACATTAAAATGCTCCTTCATATCCTTTCTGTTTGTTTTTAATAGGCCAGACTGCAACCCAGAGACAAGAAAAAATCAACAAAGGCTCTGAACATCAACATGACCTTGGCTAACATTTGCATTCCACCAGGACAGATGACTCAAACAAGTAAACTTAGCCATTCCTTCAGTGGCTGTCTTGCTGAACATACACAGAGCTTAAAAAATCAGTTCCTTTAGGAGTCTCCATACTTTGTCCTTCAAAAAAACTCACTCTCACCATCTCTAAGCACTCTGGTTCTCTTTCTTGCTAAAAGAAATGTTCGGAAGATGCCAAATGTTGACCTAAGAGAGCTATCATTCACTCCTTCCATTTTGGGTGGCTCAAAGGTGTTAAGGCAGAGTTGCAGAGTTTTATCAAGGCCCTGGTCTGGGGCTAATGGATTGCCCTCCGATAGAATGCTTTAAATATTTTTAAACATTTTTTTTTGCTTCTTTAGGGATATAAAAATATAAACCAAGTACTTAACTTCACTTCAGGCATAATGATGGAAGGAGCTAAACTAGGAACTAGAAGTCCAATCTCAAAGCAGTTCCACTCTTAAATAATTCTGGGACCTTGGGCAAGTCGCAAATTTTCTGGGACCCTGGTTTATTATGCATACAAGAACTAGAAAATTGATTGTAAGGTTGCTTCTAGTTCAAAAAATGCTCATGATCCTAATTCTTACTAAGTCACTTCCTACCATATCAAAGTTAGCAGGGAATAATGGGAAAAATACCAGATTGGGATCAGACACGCATGGGTTTTAACACTGAGGTTAGAACATCTCTGATATACAATTTCCTTACTATAGGAGAAATAATATTACCTAACTCACCTAGTGGTTATGAAGATTAAACAAGATGACACACACCATCTATTAAAGAGGTTTGCTTTGAGTAGAGCCTCAGAAAATGTATTCCCTAATTGTGTTTTCAACTCTGCACTTACTTTACAAATCAACATGAATTGAAGACTTTCAAAGTACCACTGCTGACATGGACTACTTATTCAATTGTAACATTAAAATTTCTATTTCCAAATAGTTTGCTGTTCTACCTCCTTCCTATGAATATTCTGCATATCTGAACAGCCTCCTTTCTAATTGGACTCCTTCAATTATAGCTTTTTTTTTTCTTTTCTTTTCAAGGGCAATTGGTTTCTTCGCTCTGCTCCTTGCTTGCATGTGGATAACTCCACACCTAAACATTTGGTCCTCTTCTCAGCATCTCAGAGAAAAGATACTGCTATGTCATACCTGTTCAATTGGAAAACAAATACAAATTAATCTAATTGAGATAGAATCTTCCTGGGGGAAACTCACCTCTCCAAATCTTTCCATGTTTTGTATTTTTGATAAGCTTCCACTAATAGACATATCATCCAAGCTAGAAAGAATTTTATTAATACTTCCTTCACTGGATGGTCTATTTTTCAGTTTGGATCGGAAAATGTCTCCTTGTACCCACAATGATGCTTGTTTTCTGTAAGAGAGCAATAAAAAACAATCTTTAAAATAAACTACTACCATCTCTTCCTAAAAATTAAAAAGAGAAAATATTAGCAGGACAACATTTACAAATCAGACTATGAAAATCAGATTGTGAAATAAGATATTCATATTATGAAATTTTGAATAAAGAAAAATAAAATATCTTTCAAAAGTCAAAATAAATTTAAATTCTATATTAAACACAAATAACCACTTTCCAACATTTGTCCATATAACTATGCATGGGTTGACTATTGAGGCCCTCATTATAAAGACTTGAGAAGTTTCTGGCCTTTCAAATATGAACTTGAAGTTTATAAGATATCTTTCAAGTAGTAGTTTTATTTGTCTGTTATAAAAACAACCAGAATGAATTGGATTGACAACAGATGCAAGAACTCAAGTTACATGGAGATTATACCCCCCAAAGCACTAAGCACCTCCTTTTGTGGACCCTCAACACATAACTTTTAAAACCCCACTCTTAAAATCTAAAAGCAAGTCCTAAAAATCCCAATCAGTTTTTCCTTTGGGAAAACAAAATGTGTCTGAGGTTCATTCATAAGCTTTCTTTTATTCAGAAGGCACAAATGCAACTGTTTTCAAGGTTATCAGAAGAGAACTTAAAATACATGAGCAAAATAATCATCAAGGGCTTCTATTTTTATTGGTGAGGTCACCTTCATACATTTCTTTTAAGATAAGTTATTCCATAGAATAGTTTTATTTCTATCCTATATCACATTCTACAGGGAGGAATTAATCATGAGGAACATTAGCAGTCAATGAATAACAGCATTATCAGGGTGATGCTACCAATAAGAACAGATTTTTTTTTTTTAAGCAACAGGCAAAGAGAGCAATCCTTTCTCTCACAGTTTCTACATATCACATAATTCAGGTTTATTAACAAAAGAAGTAAAGCAATGTTACACTGGGCCCTTACAAAAGAATCCATCTCCCCTTATAAATAAAGTTTATTCTCAAGTCAGAACATTGTTGTTTTTAGTCAAACACCATTGAATGTCAGGAAGAATAGGTTAACCTGTAGATCACAGCTACAGTGCACATGTGTAATCCCCCAACACACATTTAGATATTATCTTACAAAAATAAACACTGTGTATAACATAAAAAAAATTCGCTGAAGTATTATTTGCAATAGAAAAATTGTTGGGAACACCCTGGTGGAAAACCAGCTCATTAGATTGCATTAGCCCCATTTTATGCAGTATTTCCTGGATGCATAAAGCCTGTGATGGACCCACATGAGGTAACAGGAAAGAATGGCCATGAAATGAAGTATTAATGAGTGAAAAGTACAAGTGGCAGTGTGTGGAAAGTGAGGTCCCTTTTGTGCTAAAGGAAATAAAAAAGTTGTAATGTTAACAAAAAGTTCAGTTACCTAAAAAAAAATCTCACAAAATATTCACCAGTTACCCTGAGAAGGGTGATAAGGGAAACTTTCACTTTCTACTACATCATGTCGACACTACTTGACTTCTTTTTAACAATATGCCTCAATCACTTTGCGGGGGAAAAAATGATCTAAAAAAACAAATAAAAATAACGATGAAAGCAGAACAAAGCTAGATAAGTACGGAAAGGAATCTTTGAGGTTGTTATAAGAGATGACAGACAACACGTCACTGTATATTCTTAACAACACGACTTACAAAGGTCCTTTAGAAGTTAGCAGAATAACTGCAAAAAGGTTAACAGCATGGGGTAGGACTGGATGAGTGGAGGACTTTCTTTTTAGTAGAATATCCTACCCTACTTTCAAATATGAGGTAATTTTTCCTTTTTCCCCCGTATTTTAAAATATATATACACAAACACACACACACACACACACACACATATTCCAAGTAAAACAAAGGGGGAAGAAATACCTTTACATCTGATTTCTGAGATAGCAAATATACTGGTTATAGATATAAAATATGTTGTCCACATACAGGACTAACCTACCATTTCTTATACTGTTCTCAAATTGAAAACTAGTTTGAATTGTCTTAGCAAAGTTTAGTATACTTCTGAATAGATCAGATGTATTTTAAAAGTCTGCTAAGTTTTTTAAAAATAGGAATAAAATTAAAATTCCAAAAATCTATATACATCAATTTACTAGAGAATGAGGCAAGATCTGCCTTCTATCATGGTGGAACTTGATTTTTGGAAGCAAACCTCTGAGATGTCTTTTCTGAGCTTAGGATATGTACATTGATGAGATTAACATACCACTGCACCACAGTTAATTTATCCTATATATCAACTATAAAAATAAGGATTCAAAACAAAGTCAACATTTCTTTCCTTAGTTCAAATCTTAATAAAATCAGGGAATAACCTCTCATATTTCACATCTTAAAAAAAAAAAAATCTTGCTTTCTTTTTTTCCTACCTCCTAATTCACTACTGCATGCCAACCGCTAGCATAACCTCTGATCTAATCCTTGAATCTTATGACCTCCACACAGTAGTGCACAAACAGTAGAGTCCTGACAGAGAAAGAATGGTTCAAAAGATGACTGTTAAATGCATTACAGTGTTTAGGGTATCTGATTAAAACTCCCACTATAATAAGGGAGACAGAATTCAGCTTATCACAAATATGACAAATTCAGATCAACAAAATACCAAATGAATAAGGACATAAGGGCTGGGATTGGGGCTCAGCAGGACAGCACTCGCCAAAGCGTATGTGAGGCACTGGGTTCAATCTTCAGCACCAAATAAATAAATAAATAAATAAGTTGTGTCCACCTACAACTAAATACACACACACACACACACACACACACACCAAAAAAAAGAATAAGCCTAAGTATAAAAAAACAAATCCTGTCCCTTAAGAAGTTCTTGGTTTAGGACGAGAAAAGTAAACAACTGAAAACCAGTATTATAAACTCTATGACCAAGATTCACACAGAACCCTAGAAGAAGGGGCCCCAACTCAATCTGAGGGACTCAGAGAGAAATTACCAAAGAATCCAGACGTACAGTATTGTGGTGCACATGGATGTTTCCATCAACTGTGGATCATGTATATGTAGTTGGTCCCATGAGATTACAATGGAGCTGAAAACTTCCTATTGCCTAGTGACATCAAAGTCATAACAAGGCCATCGTGTGACACACTCCTCACATGTTCATGGTGATGCTGGTATAAGCAAATCCACAGTGCTGCCAGTCATATAAAAGAACAGTACATACAATTATGTATCCTACATAATGCCCAACAGTGATAATAAATGACTGTTATGGACCTATGTACTTACAATACTATACTTAAATCATTATTTTAGAGTGTTCTCCTTCTACTTGTTTAAAAAAAAAAAAAGTCTACTATAAAACACCATGCTTTGTCACAGGCAGCAGCCTCACAGATCTTGTTTTTGCCACTGTCTCTTCATTGCATCAAGAGACCAGGTAAAGCAATTGACCCATACCATCTAGGCTTGTGTAAGTCCAACTATCATATTCACAGGATGACAAAATCACCTGTCCTTAGGCAAAAAAAAAAATCTGAGAACTCCCTGTCCTAAGGCAATCCACAACTCTATCTGGAAATACATAAGCAAGACTTGGCCAGCAAAAAACATCCCCAAAGCAAAGAAAACAATGTGTAAGCTGCAGAAATAGTGATATCAGAGAACACGGCATATTTGGGGAACAGAGCTGTTTAATTTGGCTGAAGCTAAGGATTTTAGAGAAGTAGGTAAGAAGCAGCTCAAGATGGGTCCTGCATGCTATGCTAAGACATAATAAATCAAATAAATCCACAAATAAATCAAAGACCTGTCACAGTCTTTAGGAATAAAAACCATAAAGTGGGTATAGAGGCAGAGGAACAAAACTTAAGAGGATAAGTTGGGGAAAAAAAAATCTCCAATTCTAAAATAAGTTATAAAATGAAAATCTGATACTGCTGCTAGAGATGAAAATTATAAAGTGACAACTTTCACATGCTTGGTTTAAAAGATTCAATCTGTCCCATCTCTGGAAAGACTTGATTTGAACCTGAATATTAAAGATGAATAAGGTGTCAGAGCTGATTTGAGTGTTGCTAAGCGATGCTGTACGCAAGTGCTTCTTGGAAAAAAAAAAGCAGTGCTCACGAAAATACCTTTTTATTGACAATGAAAACCACGCAAGCTTTTATTGTGGTGTCTGTTACTCCTTAAAAGCCTCATCTCCAACAAAAGAAGTAAAACATGTATTTTTGTATTTAACATTTAAAAATCAAATTTTATGAAACTAACACATCTGCTGGCAGTAAACCCTCCAATTATGCAGTGCATAGAGTATGAAACCACTGGTCCTTGCTACCAGAATCCGTGTTTCTCAATGATAGGAAAAGATTGGTCTTGATCTGAACACGTTGAGAGATGTAACAGGCTGGGGTAATTGCTTTTGGCTGTGTCCTGCCCCTTGGTTAGTCAGACTTAGCCTAGCCAAGAAAGGGACTAAGAAAATAACTAAACAACTTGGCTTCATTATGAGCCAACTTATAATTGATTCTGACATAGAGACTTCATATTTCTTTGTAAATATCTCATCTTATAGTCCTATAGTGAAACTCAAGTCGGTTGTACTGCTATAAATATTTCTGGTTTTGAGTCCAGAGAACAATAGATGTCATTTAGTAGCTATTCCTGCTTATGGCTGACTCTTCTCCCTCACTTCCTTAAATCAAGCTGATCCTACGTTTACACCATCCCAACTCCTCATCCACAGTACTCCTTTAATCCTGGACACATTTTTTCCAGGATGACCCCATCCTGATTCCAAAGTCCATTCAAAGTCACTATCTGGTCATTTTGTGTAGACTTCCTAGCACTTTCTAGCTTGGCCTGGGCCTACTCTAGCAGTGACTAAGATCATAATCTGTACCTCCCACTCTACCATCCTAGGGCTGTTATAGACACAGAGGTAGTTCCCAGCTAAAGAAGTGGGCTGATGAATGCTCTAGCTTGATGTCAGAGG